GATAAGCAATTTGTGTTACCAAACAGTTGAAAAGGTTTACCTAACAAAGTGCCCGTTGGTGAGTGTATAATCCAAATCAGTTTCAAATCACTGTAAAACCAAATGCATAGATAAACATATTGAACCCACATAAATAGGCTAACCTCTTTATTATTATTATACAGTAGTTATAAAGCGCCAATAGTTCGCTCAGCGCTGTACATTACAAAGGGGGACAGAACATGTGACAGAACAATACCAACACAATGCAAAAACATGAGGTGATCGAGGGCCCTGCTCTTTGGAGCTTACAATCTAGGAGGGAGGGGGATGGTGGCACAGGAGGAGATAGCTGTGGGGGGATGGAGTGGTAGGAAGAGTGGAGGATAATGAGGTGTAAAATATAATTGTGAAATAATGGTGAGAACCCTTCACCCACATACAATACCAATCAAATACAAAAAATAAACCATGCAGGAGAAACTGAATCTCAAAATAGTGGTGGAAACCCCCAGTAATGTACTGAGCATTCAAGACAGTCTTCTATGCTCCTCAGATGTAGTACGATTTCCACTGTCCTCCAGCATTACAACCAGCACATTAGTTGTGTCCCAAAAGCACCCAAAGCTTATGTTAAAATGTATGTCACAGCAAAATTTTTATATATATATATATATATATATATATACACACACAGGGGGTGAACAAAAATATGGAAACACTACATGATTTGCAGGTGTGAAAGTGACAAAATGTTTCGCTGTGAAAGCAGACGTAATGTAACATTCTGTTAATTCTGCTGTGTGATGAGACACCTAGTTAACAGTTGGGAAGCTTCACTTTCCTCATTCACTGCTAGTAATACAGAGTTATGTCAGAGCTTACCGAGCTTCAAAGAGGACAAATTGTTGCTGTCGCTTAGCTGGTGCCTCTGTGACTGAATTTGCCATATTATTTGCCGTGTCACGAGGTCCAGTATCAAAGGTTGTGACGGCATATGCAATTTCCGGGAAAACGTTGACTGATAAGCATAAGCATGGTTGATGTGATCAACTGACTGAAAGAGACACGGGGACATTGTGCAAGATTGTGACTCGGAATAAGACAACAACAAAAGTGACTGCAGAGCTCAATCTTAGACTTCCAAAGCCCATATCCACAAAAATTGTGCAAAGGGAACTTCATATGCAAAACATTCATGGGCGAACCGCAATTGCCAAACCACTAGTGACCGATATAAATATTTAGAAGAGGAGAGAGTGGTGGAACACCCATAAATTATGGACTATCAATCAATGGAAGACGGCACGGTCCAGTGAATGAGCTTCACACTGTTCCCAAACACCATCCCAAGCTTACAACTAGGACTGTCTTATGTCATCATAAAGCTTGGTGATGGTGCAGTCATGCTTTGGGCAGCCATATCTTGGTATTCTGCAGGCCCCATCATCACCTTGAAAGATAGAGTCACTGCCAGTGGCTATGTACAAATGTTGGCCGACCATGTGCACCCATGGTACAGACATTGTTTCCCAAAGACATCTTTCATTGTCAAATCTTGGTTTGATGAGCATGCAGACAAAGTCTCACACCTTTCCTGGGTGCCACAGTCACCAGACCTCAATGTCATAGAGCCACTATGGTCAATTTCGGAAAACAAGGTTGGGGCTCGTTTTCCGCCTTTCGGAATCTCTGCGAGACATGGTACTAATTTTTGCACGAAGAATGGTATCAGATTCCATTATCCACCATCAAAGACTTATATTTGTCAATTCCCAGGAGAATTCAGGTCGTCTTAGATGTCAAAGGCAATCCAACACCATGTTGGGCAACAATTTTGTTCTTTTACCTGGTGTTTCCATAATTTTGCCCAACCCCTGTATATGTGATACATCTTTGCAATACATGAACATTTTGCCATATTTTCTCTTTAACTATTTCACTCCCAGAGCCTTCTTTACGTTTTTTTGTATACATTTAAAAAAAAAATTAAATCTGAAGATTAGTTAAGCTCCACCCACTCAAAAAGAGACCCTGGAGATTAAAATAGTGGTAGAGCAAATTTTGTTTGTCACATGATATTAGCACAAAATACACTACAGTTCATTTTAGGGCACATAAACATAATATGTGATACAATTTGTTGGTAAAGATGAGGTGGTGCCAAGTAAATGGATACCCCACACGCCACATGTAACAAGAATCCACCTGGCAGACTGGGGAAGCTAGTCAGCCATCATCCAGCAAGGAGGTCCCAAAGCTCAGGGGATTCTCTGTACGTATTCCAAGGGAGCCAGATACAATGGCAGCGTTCAGCAGTTCCTAGTTAGAGATTTCATGTGTCTGATATAGTCCATCTCCTCTACCCACTCCACAAGGGTCGGAACACGGGTCATGCACCACTGGTGAGACATAACCAGCTTAGCAGCAGTCAAACAGTGGCGCAGGATGCCCTGTTTAATACGCTTATAGGAGCCAGAAAGCAGAACAACCTGAGGCGTATTAGGAACTGTCAAATCTGTAACAGTGGTGTACATACATAGGATCAGTTCCCAAAGGGCATGGATGAGGAAGCATTCTCACCAACAGGGATCCAACACCCATTTGACATTGCCAGCAACAGTCTAAGACCGAGGAATAAATCCTATCAAGTACCATCGGTCACCGACCTACCTATCTACCACCTGGAGAGAAGTTTAAAGTTAGTCTCTTGGACCTTATTAGCCTGCGACAAGTGATGGGTAAACGTGAAGGATTTCTCCCTATCCTCATCCGACAGCTGAACATCAAGGTCAGCAGCACAATTGGTCGTGTATACTGGAAGATCAGGATGAACCTGTGAGAGAAGGACTTTGTAGACTGAGTAAGTATGGACTCAAAGGAATCCGGATCCCTAGCCAGGGCCGTCGGGTCACAAAGTGACCGATAGTTTGAACAAAGTTGTCTATATTTCAGTCATTAAGTAAAGGATACTCGTACTGACGCAAGGGAAGGCCGGTAGGGGGGAAGTTGACCTCCATGGAGAATTTGTGCCAGATATACTGTATGTGGGCCTGTCTATTCCATAAGAGAAAAGTAGGTCTCATCAGGGCAGGAGGGGGAATTGAGGAGTCCCAAACATAGGGGTCAAAGTGTCCCACTAGCAAAGAGATACCAAGGGAAGAGGTTAGACCATCCAGATATGTAGTAGATGAGCCATAAAATGTGGTCAAGTAGTAGGTGATTCCCTGCAGGCAGGAGCAGTCCAAGAAACAGCAAGGAGAGCACAAGGTGCCAAAGCCTGCTTCATGAATACCCATTGTTTAGTAGAATTGTCAAATCAGTTCACCAACCTGGTCAGGACAGCAGCAGCATGGTAGAGACAAAGATCCGATGCCCCCGTGCCTCTCCTCAGAAAGTTAAGATACTCTAAAGAAGTGGTCTCCTCAATCCCCAAATAAATTTAGTAAAGGTTGACTATAGGGTATAAAAGAAGGGCTGAAGAATAGAGATGGGTAAAGTTTGAAACAAGTAGAGAAAACGCGTGGTAATATCCATTTTTAGGATGAAGATCTAGCCAATCCAAGAATAAAATGTACGTCGTACGTCTTCAGGTCCTGTAAGGTGTGTTGAAGGAAAGGTGTATAATTCTCAATAAAGCAGAGAGGTCATCAGGAATTTTGCAGGTCACCCATGGCTCTGTGTGTGAATGGACATGCAGAGCAGTGACTTGGGAGTGAGTCTGCTCGGGTGCCCCCATAACACACTGATTGCTGTCGGGGCACTAGACAGAAGGGAGGAGCAAGGAGCGCCTGCAAGGGGATCCGAGAAGAGGAGGATCAGGGCTGCTCTGTGCAAAACCACTGCACAGAGCAGGTAAGTATAACATATTTCTTATTTTAAAAAAACACTTTAACTGTGAATAACGGGCCTAGAACTATTGCTGTTCCTCTGGCGTACATGGTGATATGTAACATGTATGTAGCGCAGTCAATCTAGGTGCCGTAAGAGCACATGTTTACATTCATATGGGGGGCTCAAATTTGTTTGGGGGGGTGCATGAATATAACTATTTTTTTTCACTAAGCTTTATTTATCAGGAAAGAGAACTCATACAGTTCTCTATGTGATACAATTTTGTTGTGACAGGGTTCTCTTTATTGGGAGAATAAAGCATTTCCTAAAGGATAAGAACACCTTTTAGACAAAGGTAATAAACACACATTTTTTTTTCAGTTACAAAAATGTGCACTTATTATTTTTGTCCCAAGGAGCCTGAAAGGCAGGCTGATGCCATGCAGGTCTCCTGCAGACCTCTCAGTTCTCTCAGTATATCTGCCTGCCGTATGCGATGTATGAGCAAACAGATATACTGACAGGAAGCTTCAATGAACTACCACGGCGATCCACAGCACCATGATAGTTAATTGAAAACTACAAGCTGACAGCCGCTAAGGCTGCTGGGACTTGTAGGCACTCATTCACAGAACTCTGTGAATGAGTGACGCGGTCATGTGGGCAGAGCCCTGCACGGCCACATTGTTTTCAAATCTGACAGATAGAATCGGGAGAAGCTTCCCCGTACTGTCTGTCAGAGGGAGGGGGCGGCGGGCATGGGGGTGGTAGCAGGTTTAGTAGAGTTAGGTTTGGACTGGTTTTTTATTTTTTCTTAAACAAACCAAAATTCACTGAAAATTTTGAAAAAAAACCCTGTTTTTTTCTTAGTTTTTGTTATACAATTTTGTAAATAAGTGATTTTTCTTCACTGATGTGCGCTAATGAGGCTGCAGTGATGGGCACTGATAGGCTGCACTGATGGACACTGATAGGTGGCACTGATGGGCACTGATGAGGAGGCACTGGTAGGTTGCACTGATGGGCATTGACAGGCATCACTGATGGGCACTGAAAGGCAGCACTGATACATGACACTGATATATGGCACTGATAGGCGGCACTGACTGGCACTGTTAGGTAGCACTGACTGGCACTGATAGGTGGCACTGACTGGCACTGATGCGCACTGATAGGCGACACTGACTGGCACTGGTAGGTGGCACTGATTGGCAGCAATGATAGGTGGCACTGATTGGCATTGATAGGTGGCACTGACTGGCACTGATGGGTGACACTGAAAGGCAGCTCAGATGGTCACTGATATGTGGCATTGATGTGCACTGATATGTGGCATTGATGTGGCACTGAGGAACACTGACAGGTGGCACTTCTGGGGCCACACTGATCATCAGGGCATACTGATCATCAGTGCCCTGATGATCAGTGTACATGTCCCCTCCGCGGAAAGCCGATTACCGGCTCTCCTCTTGAGCTGTCAGCGTGACAGCTCGAGAGGAGAGAAATGCCGATAACCGGCATTTCCGTGTTTACATGTGATCAGCTGTGATTGACATAGCTGATCACATGACCGAGCCGACATCTTCGGCTCTTTCTGTGATCCGCTGTGTCCGAGAGACACAGCGCACCAGCGATCGCCACGCTGCGCGCTCCCTGAGCCGCGCATGCACGGTGATACTGGAAGGACGTCATATGACGTCCAGTCAGAACGAGAGAACCACCTTGTGCCCGTCCTTGTACTATATGGCGGGCGGAAGGTGGTTAAAGGCTAACTCTACCTTTTGCACCAAGTTACATGTTACTCCCATATTTAGGGTGTAAAATGGTGGAAATATGACCCACCCCACTCCACTCCCTCCTGTGACAGCCTATGGGGTTCTTCTCCCATCTGACACTGGGGTAGGTTGACTTGAAGTGTGTAATGGAACAGTACACTCTTGTATTTTGCTGGCTTCCTCTAGCTCTTCAGCTAAAAGCCTGTACCTCGGTAGACATAGAGCTGGAGGAAGAGTCTGCAGAAGCCTAGCATTGTACCTACCATTCACTCATCACAGGTGCAGTGCTTTGCACTATACAAAAAATTAATAAATGCCCATTTTTTTCCCTATAAATACACTTCCTAAAAAAATAAAAAAGTAACACTTTTTAATCATAGTCTAGCATCAAGTCAATGAAACTCCTGGGATAATAATCTGGTCAGTAAAATAGTAGCAATAGTAGGGGGTTGTTAATCAGTTTCAACTGCTTTGGTGTTAATGAAATGAACAACAGGTGCACTCGATGGGCAACAATGAGACAACCCCCAAAACAGGAATAGTTATACAGGTGGAGGTCACTGACATTTTTTTCCCTAGACATTATTTCTGACTGTTTTTTCATGAGTTTTGCATTTGGCTAGGGTCAGTGTCACAATTGGTAGCATGAGGCCATACCTGGACCCTACAGAGGTTGCACAGGCAGTCCAGCCAATGGCACCCTGACTGCCATTAGGTATGGGGATGAAATCCTTGGACCCATTGTCAGACCCTACGCTGGTGCAGTGAGTCCTGGGTTCCTCCTGGTGCACAACAATGCCCGGCCTCATATGGGGAGAGTATGCAGGCAGTTCTAGAGGATGAAGGAATTGATACCATTGAATGGCCCCCACGCTCACCTGACCTAAATCCAATAGAACACCTCTGGGATATCATGTTTCTGTCCATCCAATGCCGCCAGGTTGCACCTCAGGCTGTCCAGGAGCTCAGTGATGCCCTGGTCCAGATCTGGGAGGAAATCCCCCAGGACACCATCTGTGGTCTCATTAAGAGCCCTCCCCCGACATTGTCAGGCATGCATACAAGCATGTGGGGGCCATACAAATTACTGAGGACCATTCTGAGTTGCTGCCATGAAATTTCAGCAGAATGGACTTGCCTGCTGCATCATTTTTTTACTTTGATTTTCAGGGTGTTTTTGAATTCAGTGCTCTGTAGGTCGATCATTTCCATCAAACGATGGGGCGTCCTTACGTTCCTAACACATTACCCTGTCCATATCAGTATAGAGATCCAGCAGGAGAGTTTTCACCATTTGAGATCTGATGGTTTTCAAAGTGTTTCTTTAATTTTGTTTAGCAGTGTATATATTGTGTCTATTGTTTTTCTGTAAAAGGGGGTCCTAGTCTTAAGGAGTGACAAGGGTCCTCAGAAATCAGTAGGTACACAGCTATATTGTGAAGTACGCTCTGTCCTTTAAGGCAGTATGCAGCCAATCCATCACAAAGTTCCTTCTTCTTCTAGGTACATCTATTCAATATGTTGGAAGTAATTGTTGGATTGCTCCTCCTCCTGATATTCGTGTGAGTATTGACATTCTAAGTCTGATTTTCTCTGCAACTAATCATATTCGAGGCAATGCTATAGTGTGACAAAATAAATAGTGGTGTGAACCTCCTGCACTACTAGCAGTGCACCGAAATAAAAATTCTATTGCTGAAACCAAAAATTCAGAATGCACTTTACTCTTTATGTCTGGAGGAAAAGAAATTTAATCTCCAAATACGGAAAGGTTTCTTCACAGTAAGAGCTGTGAAAATGTGGAATAGATTCCCTCAAGAGTTGGTTCTGGCCAGCTCAGTGGATTTTTTTTTTTAAAAAAGTCCTGGATTTTTTCTTGGATACACAATATATAACTGGATATAACATTTATAGGTAAAGTTTGATCCAGGGAATATCCGATTGCCTCTCGGGGGGATCAGGAAGGAATTTTTTTCCCCTGCAGGAGCAAATTGGATCATGCTTTTCTGTTGTTGTTTTTTTTGCCTTCCTCTGGATCAACTGTGGGTGTAGGATTATAACTTGCATTGAAGTCTATGGGAAGCAACTTTGAGTAAAGTCTATAGATCACAATTTTGCATTAAAGTCTATGGGACGCTGTGACGGACTCAGGATCATTGTCACCAATAGGACTGGCCAATCTGAAGCCGCGATGTCACATGCGTAACAATGCCACACCCAGCCGCACCCTGCACAGCGATTTTCCAGCTAATGGACCACAATCGATGCACCGGCAGCCTAAGCGATTGTTACTGGGTCAGGTTAATTACACAATTAATCCTTCACACTGCCACCACCTCTTTTTTGTACAGAGAAAGAGGAAACTCAGCGATATCCACAATAACACTATAATGGTTGAGGTAATGTCTGTATAACACGGTCAATGCAGGCCGGTTATACAGAGGGTTAAACAAACACAGTAGCGTTCTTTTTAGAGGCAGGAATTCGTAAATTGCAATTAAGAGCTATAGAAACAGTTCAACACTTTCAGAAGGAAAGATTTATTACTGAAAAGTCAAAAAGGGGTGCAATAAAAATATTTACAGAACAAAGATGTAACCAATATATATATAAATATACAGAAAACAACAGCACAGCAAAGAGATAACAGAGAGAGGTTAAAAGGTTAGGGTACTTGCCGAAGTCCTGGGTTAGCAGATCAAATTTCAGAGCGAAAGGGTACTGGTCTCCCCAGGTGGTATTGATGTTAAATGGGAGAATTCTTCAACTTCACTTCCTTAGGCCTGACAGCCCCAATTTGTAGTTCCCCAGCAGGGAGTGTCTCTGAAGTCAAGGACCAATACCCTGTTTAGGGTATGGAGGTCTGTGCGGAGGCCTAAACTAGAGCCAAAATCTCATCTAGTTCATATTTTGGCTCATAACTTTTCCTATGCACAAGTGACACTCCACCCACGGGTAGATTATTATGCAGACACGTCTGAGGATTGATTAGATATGAAATATGAAATTATACACCGAACAGTTCACGAGATCTACCTTTCGGCTTTCCTATATATTCGAGACAAGTTGAGTGACCTATCAAACTGTTCGCCTCCTCTTGGCCAATCTGACGATATGCCTGGTTTTTATGTAAGTCTCTCATATTCCAAGATATGAGACATAGGGGAAAAATGGATTTTTAAAAAGGTTATCTGGTGTGCTTCCTTGGAATGTCTTTTGAACTCCTGGGAAGGCTGCGTTATCTTTTTACGAGGTGCTAAATTGTACAGGTTCTTTGGACACATAGCCCCCCTGCTGGGCTCTGGCCTGTGACACTTTTAACACACACACTCTGCCATATATCACTGTGCCTCTCAGAGAGGGAGGGGAGAAAATGGAGATTTTTAGCAAAATGGAAGCTGCGTCCTGCCTCTGGTGCGCACGTTCGTGACAGACGCAAGTTTATATTAAAGTCTTTGGGAGTCGGCTTTGCATTAAAGTCTATGGGACATGACTTTGCCTTAAAGTCACTAGGGGGTATTTTTGCATTGAAGTCACTAGGGGGCATTTTTGCATTGAAGACTATGAGACACAGCATTCCATTATCGGCACTTTTTTTAATCGGTAAAATGGCGATAATCCTATTTTTGGCCAATAATTTTTGGTGACCAGTATATTGGTGCATCCCTTTGCATTACCAATATGTGAAAATCAGCTTAATGCTTTTAACATAAAGTACTTACAACAATGTATGATGATATAGTAACTTCCAGCTGCTGCTGCTAAAACACCAATCTGTGTTCCCACAATTACAGTAAATGTAAATCATAAAAAAGTGTATCATATAGAATCCAGATTTGAAAAAAACTTCACCTAAGCATTTGAAACTCCAATAAAACCAAATGAAACAATAAAGTTCATAATTCAGTCCTTTCAAAATATTTCTTCAAATATATGATCTGTAATTCATCCGTGTGTATGTTATATCCCACACCATTGTGCATCACACAAATAGTATCTGTGTTCAGAACACCACGTGCTCCCTCCAGGCTCCCAGAACTCTCACCTCCAGTTAAAATAAGCCAGCATGTGTGATCAAATCCTGCACCACTTTCAGCCTCCATCCTTAGGGTTCTCCCTTGGAATACCAATTCACATCTCCAAGAAATGTATAAAGTGCTGTGCCTTTAAGATGTTATAAATATTCATGCGGCCATGATTAGGGCTCTCAACAAAACTAGCACAGAGGGCTCCCATAGTGTAGTAATACCATAAAGCCAAATTCATGAAAGAATTGCAGTTACACAATTTATTGTATAAAAAACATCATAAAACCATGTATGGAAGCTAGGTTCCTTGTACGTCACTTGTGGTCTGTGCTGTCACCATTTATGCCCTACGCGTTACATCACAGTCACTCGACTTCATGAGGGGGAAGTGGCAGGTGAACACTGCATCTATAAATACACCATTAGATCTTAATGGGATAGTGGACATTTTGTTGAAGCCCATGTATTTGCATGGCTCATTGGACATTTTCCCTGTGTTACCAGTGTTGGCTATGTTGACAAAGATTTTATGTCGGTCATGTTCCCTTTTTAATATCCGCCTGTCATAATTGTCACGATCGCCGGATTGCCGCCACCAACATGCGACAATCGCACAACCGCGACCACCAATACATCACAATCGCGGCGTCAAACCCGGACCTTCTCACCAAACTCGTGACCGAAGGACCGGCCCATCTAAACCCGCGGTGTGACGCGTGTAACAAGGCCACACCCAGCTGCACCCTACACAGCGATTGTCCAGCTAATGGACTACAATTGGTGCATGCAGCCTGAATGTGCTTGTTACTGGGTCGGGTTAATTACGCAACTAACCCTCTACCTGCCACCACCACTTTTGTCGGAGAATAAGAAACTCCCTTT